TTCTGACATGAGCCCCTGCTCCTCCAAACCTCCTCTGTGTCACAACCAACCAGGTTGGCCTCCACCTCCCCATCTCTACACTGGTACCCACTACGTGCCCTCTCCCCCACATATCTCCTACCGCCCCTGCTCAGTTCTCCGCCCCCCCCTCGGTCCTCTCAGTTTAACGACCCTGATCTTGGCTCCTCGTGGTCCCGCTTCCTGCTGTTTCATTCCCAGAAATGACACCCTCAGAAAACCACATTCCCTTCTGTACTCCTTGCACATCTCTCCTGGGTGGGCCTTGTCTAGGTCTCAAAATCCCCTCTTGTCATGCCGTATTTCTGCACACCCAAAAATATCCCCATCGGCTAGATCTGTTTCCCCTTCTTTGCTCAGATCCTCCAAAAATCCCCTTAGCAAGACACATTTCCTTCTCCTTCCTCTATACCAGTGGCAGCCAACTTTCCCGGCAGGCATGCCTAGAGATTGGGAGGCCCGGGTTTGCCAGCAGCCCACCAGCAAGCTGGCAGGGACCACGTGCAATACTCCTGGCAGGCAGAATTCGATCAGAAATCTGCCCAAACCAATTAAGACCTGCAAACTGTTGCAATAGAGGTATTTTTGGATGCAACTATCTGTTGTTTTGAGGCTTGGGGGAGAGTGTGTGTTCCCAGCCAGCTCGTGATGTCCTGGCTGCTTGCACCTGTGTGCTCTCAGACTGTTGCCTGCAACCAGCTTCTTGGAGCTGGGGCGCGATGCAGAACGAGCGAGTTAAGGTGCTTAAGAGGGGACACAGAAGCAGTCCTTAAATACCTGAAGGGCTGCCGTAAAGAAGAGGGAGACACCTTTTCCCTCTTGCTGCAGAGAGGAGGATGCAGACCAATGGCTTGAAGTAGCAGCAAAAAGCAGGTTTAGGATCCTACCCAGGATCTATTGAGCGCATATTAACATTTCCCAGAAGCAGGACGTGGGCTGCCACAGTCGCCCTGCCTTATCTGTAGTGAGGGCGCTGTGTCGGGGGGACTGGCGTCTTACTACGAGACTGGATTGCATGGGATAATTTGCACGGGGCTGATCCTGCCTCAGGCAGGGGCCGGATGAGATGTGCAGCCCCGTGGCCCTACAATCCTCTGTGTGGTGCAACAGCTCAGAGAGGTTTACTGTCTGAATGCAGGGTACTTGCTAATTATTACTTTTTTGCATGCAAGGGCAGCCGTGCAAGGGTCTCCCTTTGCAGGTCCGGCAACGCTACCTTCAAGGTGGCGGTGACCTTGGCACCTGCCCTGCTCTGCGGCGCTGCCCGGGAGCAAGCGGGACTCCACGGCACGTGCAGGCCGCGGTCCCCGAGGGGCTGGGACAGGCCCGGCATTCACACCACGCGCCTCGTGCCCTGCATCTGTGTCTCTGCAGGGAAGCCCCTTCTCCTGGGCTCTTTGCCCAGCCGCTCGCCCCTTGCCAGCCCAGGGCACCCGAACCTGGCTGGGTCCCCGCTGCACCAGGCGGGCCTGGATCTGGGCCGTGGTGCCCCTGCTCCCCAGAGCTCCCCCTGCACCTCGGGAGGGAGCAAGGGGCTGCAGGCTGCTGGAAAGGGGGTGTGGCCCTTACCTTACCCAATGGGGGGAAGGGGCGTGGCCCAGCTGCCACCCAAACCAATAGGAGAAGGGAGCGTGGCCCAGCCGGGAGAGTGGGGGGTCCCTGCCCCACAGGGGGGAGGGAGAGGGGCATGGCACAGCCTCCCCATAACGAATGGGGGAAGGGGGCGTGGCCTAGCAGACACAGGGCCCAATGGGAGAGAAGGGGTCGTGGCACAGGCCGGGGCATGTCATTACCGTAATGCCTGTAAAGACCCCCCTGCCCCCCAGGACTTCCCGCCTCACCTGGGCCGAGCAGCAGCAGTGGCAGCAGTGCGCGGAAAGGCCCCATCCCCGCCACGCCTCAGCTCCGCCCCAACCGCCACCAGGCCCCGCCCCCTCCAACAGCCACCAAGCCCCACCCCGAGGGAGCCCTTGTCTTGTTACCTGTCAATGGGTCTCTCCTGGGCCCAGGAGACCCCTGTCCTGCCCCGCAGGTGCTCGGTGGGACCCTTGCAGCCCATCCATGCTCTAGGGCACCAGTTGTTTTAGGGGCTTAATTGGTGGCCTCTGTCTGTCCCTATAGCCATGCCCTGTCTTGCAGATGTTACTGGTGTGGGGACATCTTGCCCCCAGTGCCGTGTCAGGCATCCACACCCTTTTCAGGGCCTCGGTCTTCCTGGCTTCAACCCTCTTGTCTTTAGCTGGGCCTGTTAGCCTAAGCCCACTGCACCGGACCTTGGCTTATGAGCTCCAGCTCCTGTCTTGCCTGCTCACAGCCTGGGTCCCTGGCCCTGGATCCTGCCCCTCTTGGGCTTTGGCCCTTATCCCTCCTAACTTCAGGCTAGCTCTGTTGCTCAGGGGGTGTCACCGTGGACCCTACCATGAGGTGATGGGTGCAGAACACAAAATCACCCACGAAAATCTCCTTGGCCTGATCAGAAGTTCTCCTGGACCCATAAAACTTGCAATTCCCATCTTTCAAGAGCATCTGACAACACCCATCCTCCTTCTGTGATACTTATGGACATTATGACATCCCAGGTTCCTCTTAGTACTTGGTTCCTTGTGAATTGACCTTGACCCTGGCCCCCAATTTCTTTGGCTGAAACTACAGACTCTGTAGCACCCTTACTAAGTCAGGAGAACTTGATGAGCATTGCATCTGAGGCAGGCTCCAGCCTGATTTATTCCCAGGATCCAAGGTTCATTCATGACATTGGAGCAGTTCCTACAGCTGGAGGCCCCTTCCTCAAATCAGCCATAGCCGATGGTAGTGAGGCTGTCCTATGTGCATTAAGACCCCTCGCAAGGCAGTTGAGATTCACTGCGTTGACCGGCCACTGTCAGGGCTCTTGCTAAGCTCGCCTCCCTGGCGTGACACTCAAGGTGGTAGCTCAGCAGTGAGCCTCCACTGTGGCTGGCTTAGCTTTGGCAAACAATGTGAGACTTGTGAAGGATGGGGCTGTTATGGGTGATAGATGTTCGTGGACCAGGAGGCAAGCTTGGGAATATGAGGAATCTTCTTCAGGCAGGTGCACCCCTTCCACATGGCGAACCCCAGGTCCACCCCTTCCCCATCTTCTTCAGGCAGGTGCACCTCTTCCCCATGGCGAGGTGTGGTTTGGGGTGTGCGAACCCAGGGCCCTGACCTGACCGGTATGGCTCTCTGCCCCAACCTCCCTGAGGAAGCCTCCAGCACTGACCCAGCCTCCACTGACTCCCAGCCACCTCCTATCACCTGACCTTCCACTTCCCATATATAAGATGAGGGAGAGGACGTCTAAATGTCCGGGCCACTCCAAATTTTAGGCAATGCTCAGATTCCTTGCTTCGCCTGGTTTCCTCAAACATCTTGCTCATGACTTCTGCTCTTCTCTTTACCCCAGGCTCCTGATCCACCTTATCCCTAGATGCTGCTTGGCCTTTCTAACTCTGGCTTTTACCCTGATCCTGTAAAATTGGTCTTTGATGGGCCCCCCGGGCCTGGCTGCCCATGTCCTGGCACTGGTAAATGTAAAGAGGCAGAAGAGTCCCTCTAGGCAGCTTTGTCCACAACGGCGCACTGGGAGCAATGGAGAAAGAGGTCAGTCCTGGTCTAGATGGAGCCCTAAATGGAGCAACCAGACTGACATTGAAAACCCTGGCTGGGCTGATGGATATGCATTGAAATCCTTTGCAGCTGTTTCAGATGAGAAGAAAAACAGCTGTGATTACAACCCAGGCAGGAACGGGTTTTGTTTTCCTCGGTGCGTAAGCAGCTAAGTATGACACCACCCCGAGGAGCTTCTTGTTTTAGGTGGAGCCTCCTCTGCAGGGCAAAAGCAAGGCCATACAGAAGCTAAATAAATAACTTGTAGTCTCGTGTGCAATTTGATAACCGTGTTAAAAGTTTGCGAAGCAGTGAAAGCCTTCTGAGCCTTCTCGTTCATCCTGGGATGGAACAGCCGGTGGTCCAGTGAATCTGTAACCACGATACTGCAGCGAAAGGTGTCTCAGTCACGTTTGTGTGTCAGGTTTTGTCTCCCTACCCCACCGCTCTTGCAGCTCCATGTGTCAGGGGGGGTTTTTAAGTCTCCCTCAGGGGCACTCTGGATCCTTACCTAGTAGGATCCATATTGAGACTGCACCACCTTAGCTGACATCAGCTTCTGATGCATCTGTGCACGGCCATAGACCTGGGATGGGAAATGAACTGGTGAAAGACTATCCTATAATCAGTCCTGGGGGATATATAGTCTGCCAGTCCTTCCTGAGTTCATTGCACTGAACTCATGTGTTAATCATTCGCGTGTGCTGCGTTTCCGAAGGGAAAATACTATTGCAGAACTGTCCTGAAACCAAATATTCTCTGCTTTTTCATGAACCCTTTACTGAGAATTTTTCTATCTAATTTAGCTACCTGTGTTCATATACTATCTCCTACTGTCATCCCCTCAGCTCCCCCTCACGTCAATTGTCTTTGGGGATATGCAAAACCTGTGGAGCCCCCAAATTTGTGGGACCCATCACACCGGTGCTACACCAGATGTGGCAGAGAGAAAAGTGGGGGGATTGCTTCTGTACGAGTGGGAGATCGGGAGGAGGGTGTGCTCTTTGCACAGGATGTTCCTCTAATCATAAAGCCAGTCCCGGGACTAATGCTGCTGCAGTGGCTGTATTTCATTACAGAAGGCAAAGAAAGAGCCTCATCCTTCTCCCATTCGAATCCATGCAGATTTTCCCATTGACTAGAATGGGAGAAGATTGAGGTCAAAAACATTATCCCAAATCATTATTTGTAACAAACGTGTCAAAGGTTTTATGCAGGTCCGAGGACTTGCTGATCGTTGTTGCCGATTGACTGCTATCTCCTGTCTTTCCTGATGTAGGTAAAACATCTCCATGGGGCTTCCTCTCGGGTATCAGCACGTCCCCAGGTACAAGCATCTTTACCCAAAAGCACCCGAGATGCAGCAGCTGAGAAAGAAAGAAAGGACAATCACAGTGCGCAGCCCAAAGGAACAGTTAGATGCTAATCCCCCCTTTTCAAAAACTTGGTAATGAATCTGCTGCAGTGAAGGCTGATGAGAGCAAGTGAGAAATAGTGCCGGGTAGTTCCCAGGTAGAAGTGGGGAAGATGAGGCACAGGAGGTGGCTTGATGTCCCTGAGATCAGATCACAGTTTTGTAACAGAGTCAGGCAAGTTTGGTCACAAATGGCACCCTAAATTCAGACCAGGACACCTGTGAACATCGAACGCTGAGGCTCGGGGAGCAGATACACAATGCAAAGTGAATGGACTTTGCTTCTTAGTGAAAGTGAAGCGGACACACAACACACAGCCTTACCCAGACACCAGTCTCTTTTTTTTTTGTTTTTGGAGTTTACATTTCCCTGCAAAAAGCTCTACCCTGCTTTACTCTGCGTGAGTTACTACAGAGCACGTGATGTGCGTCTCATCCTGGCATAGCTGTTTACTCAATGCAAACTTGCTCTCCGGCACCGGATGGTGAGGCACACTATGGCAGGTACTGCAGGCAGGTGCCTCTGGGACCTGCTCAGACATCTCTCCTTACTCTTCCCAGAATCAAAGAAATGAGGGCTGGAAGAGAGCTCAGGAGTCACATCTAGTCCAACCTCCTGCTCCGAGCAGGCCCAGCCCCAACTACATCATCCCAGCCAAGGCTTTGTCTACCCATGTCTTCAAAACCTCCAAGGATGGAGACTGCAGCACCTCTCTGGGTCACCTGTTCCAGCACTTCACTACTCTCCTAGTGAGAAAGATTTTCCTAATATCCAACCTCAACTTGCTTTACTGCAACTTGAGCCCATTGCTCCTTATCCTGTCATCTGCCCCCACTGAGAACAGCCCAGCTCCATCCTCTTTGGAGCCACACTTCAGGTAATTAAAGGCTGCTATTAACTCTCTCCCCCCCAATTTTCTCTTCTGCAGTCTTCTGTTCCTACCTGCCTCCCTCAGCAATCCTCTATTTGGGGGTAAAATCCAGGGTATATTACCCAGTATTAATCATGTTGTATGCCCACCCCTGAGCCTTCCAACAGAAAAGTACATAATGCTCTGCCCTGTTATCCTTTCTCCCCTGAATGCCCAGCCCCTGCAACCCTCAGCCTGACATATTTTACACCCTGAGACCCATTGTCTCCATGAGCTGTGCCTTCACCATGAAAATAAAGAGAGCTCAGCCTGCTCCATTTGATGATCGTTGGCTGCACGCTCTGGACTATTCGAGTGTCAGTGTGTGGAGGGGATGTGGGGGCTGAACTTTCCTCTGAGCATTTCAGGTTTCTCCAGTGTGTGGGAGGCTCACAACATGCTGGATCAAGACATGAGAACGGTATTAATGGGGACATACATGAGACCTTCCGCACAGTCCTTGGGTCCCACCGAATTTTCCTGAGGGTAACAGACAACGCGGCAGTAGCCCCGGTAGTTCGCGCAGCCCCAGTTTCCAGCACCGGCACCCGGACCTGCAAAAACACAAAGTGGACTTTAAGCCTCTCCTTGGAGCTTGCCCCAAATTGCAAGTCTCTTTGCATCATCAATCTACTGCTGTCAACGCCGACCCGAGCTACGACCCGGGGCCCCTCTTGCCCTCTCTCTCGTTAGTGAGCTGCACTGACGAGGCGTGACACATTAGGGCTGGACACAGCCCCTGCCTTTTCATGCATTAGCCCAGTAGGGGCCCAGCCAAGTGCCACTCCAATCCCCTTCTCCTGCCTGATCTGCTGCTCTGCTTTCTGATCCCGAGCCTATCTGCTGCCGTGCAGATTGCAATGATCCCTAATCATTTGTGGATCTATGAGCCTGCTCCCAGCCCACGTAAAATTTGAGAGGTTGTCACTGATTTTAATGGGAGCAGGATGAGGCTCTACAGCAGAGCTGGATCTGGCCCATCAGTGGATTCTGTGTAGCCTGCGGTAGGTCCCTTGGCCCAGGCGTGAGGGCAGCCCAGGCTGTGGCAGGTGTGGCTAGTCCCACTGTGCAGCGGGGGCAGGGGCAGTGCAGTGGGGGTGCAGCAGCTGGATTCGGCTTCCTAGCAGCCCCCATGATGGTAGCTTGCTCTATATGGCTGCCACTGCAAGTCTGCCCTGCACCCACTGCCAGGGGTACTGGACAGAGCGGGTGGGTAGGTGAGTGGGGTCTCCAAGGGGCTCCTTCCTTTAATAAGCTGTTACAAAGGGAGGGCCACACTGCTTTAAAGCTCAATAATGAATGTATTTTAAAGGCTATCTAAAGCAGTCATTCTTCTCATGCTAAATTTATCACTGGCATGGAGAGGAACAAGTTTGCACACCCCAAGAGCACTGTTGTGTGCTCTCCCTTGTAGATGGAGCAAATATGTAGGCTTTAAAAATTTTGGGTAGCCTTCTCAACAGTGCCTTGAGATCAGTGATCTTCTCCAGGATTTTCAGACAGGGAAATTAAACGAAAAGAGGTCAAATGACTTGCCAGCACTCATACAAAACAGTAGATAGCACAACCAGGGGAAGAACCCAGGGGTCCTGTCTCCCGGTCTTCTGTGCCAGCCACTAAACCGGCAAATGTGTACCCTGCACTGGGACACACGGTGCCTTGGAGAACAATATGCAATCACATATCTGCAATGACATGCAATCACAGGTCGGACTGGGGATGGAAATGCAGACGGTTCCTACCTGGTTCTCCTAAGGTTTTGATCCGAACGAGAAATAAAAGAAGTAAAACACATCTGAATGGAGTGGTGGGGGAGGGAATTTCACACCATGGGGAACATGATTTTGAGTGACCAACCAAGCCGTTGACAATATGGCAAGGAAACTGCTTTTCTGAGTATACATTAAGAAATGATTTGGGAATATTCTCTGAAGCTGCCCAGCAAGGCTGGTCTCGTGACCAAGCTTCACTGTAATCCTTTGCCCTGAGGATGTGAGACTCGCTACCCTCTTGACGCAGAAGCCCTAAGGAACGGCGGAGAACTATGTCCATTTTGCAGATGAAGAAGATAAGGCCCAGAAAGTGATGTTATTTGCTGTGGGTGAGAAGAAGGCCCAGAGTCGAACCCAGCTGTCCTGTCTCCTAAACATTAGATCAGCTTCTCCCAAGCATCACCTACGATTGACACGGCCGCAGGGTACTTACAGCTGCTCATAGCCAGAGCCAACAGCACCAGCAGAAGCAAACCCCGGGGACTCACGGTGATGACCATTTTCCAGGCACCTTCCTGTAGGTGAACAGAATAGCCAGTATCCCTGGAAGCTCGTTATATAGAGTCGCTAGGAAGCATGGCACAAGGGAGCGGTTTTGATCCAGTGGGGTGTCATCAAAGGTCTAATTAATAGTATGTGACGTAGGGACTTCCTGAGCCATCTCAGCATCCGAGCAGGCTGAAGGAAGGGCCGGGAGGGGAGGCCCCCATTTCAAAGCTTGTTTACTAAATCTGCCCAGTCCTGATCTGATTATTGGTATTGAAGCATCTCCTTGTTGTGCGCCTTATCATGAGATACCACTTAGGGGCTGCTGAAAGGATCCGCTGTGCAGAGGGAAATGAGATCCGCCTGATCGAAGGACAAGGGTTTTGGTTACACAATGGCATTCATGTGATAAAGGCTCTGAGGCAGACACTGGCCTGATCCTCCTTTACACTCATGCCAAGGTAAATCAGGGGTCAGTACATGGGAGTAAATAGAGAGGGTGACAGGACCCCCGAGTCGGCCAAGGCCGCGAGGGCACAAACTTCTTGCTTTGGTTGCAGGACAGCTGAATTTAGGGGTAAAACCCCCCAACTTGACTATTTAGGGAAAACACTGCAATGGAGCCGGGGAAGACAGAATGCAACATGAAGGTTTAAAACGCACTATCGCCCAGCCCGTCTCACTCTAACTAGACTGTGGCCGGTGCTTTCTTCTCAGTGGGAGGCTGGTTCGAGGGGCAGGCGGGAGTCTTCACGGTCTCTGCAGCAGGCTCCTCCTTGCCCCTGGAGGTCTCGGCTTCTCTGCGGCCCTCAGCAGGTTGCCTCTGCCCCATGGCTGCAGCCCCCATGTGGCAGACTCCCTCGACCCCCGCTCACACCAGCGGGCTGGAGGTGCTCGTGCAGGTACACGGAGGCACACACAGGCACATGCACGCTCCGGCTCTCCTGCCTCTATCTCCTGCCACCTGCTTTTAGGAAGAGCCCAAGTGCTCAGGCCAGGGACCCTCCCAGCACCACCCAGAGGGCAATTAGCCTTTAACCCTTTCCCCATCTGAACAACACCCATTAAACCCCTCCACTTTCAACAGATAAGAGCAAGCAGTACAAACCCGTAACATCACAGAGAGGCAAGGATTTCTTAGAGTGATCTCTTTAATGCATCAGTGTGGGGACAGAGTTAGGCAAGCTTTCAAGTACAAGACATTTTTCATCAGGTCTGCTGAAAATGCAGACTTTTCTGTGTGCAACCAGCATGAGATGTGAATCGGGTCCATGGCTTTCCTTCTTAACCAAAGCAAATGAGCAACAGCTGGACACAGTTTGAGGCGTTACTGAGGGCAAGTCTACACATGCACTTTAATATGCACTGGCCTACTTCAATGCACATTAAAGTGTCACCAAAAACATGCTTTTTCACTAAAATAGGCTAATGCACCTTTTTCTAGTACTTCACAATGGAGGTACGAGATTTAATGCGCATTACCTAAAGCGCATTAATGACCGTGGAGACGCGCCCTAGTCCTTGCAAGGCACAAAATCAGAATAGACGTCTGATTTGAGCGTGCTCTCAATGTTTCCAGGGTGGGAAAGTGATTTCAGAATAGCTCCCTTTGTGGGCATGCTCTGAAATAAAAATCTCTTTGTGTTCCAGAGTAATTAGCTGTTTTATTACGACAGTTGATGCTTTTACTCTGGAACTACATGAATTTTATTCTGGGATCAAGTGCCCAAGCAGGGACCTATTGCTAATGAAGAACAGCTTATTCCTCATCAGCTATGCCAGTCAGTGTCCCTGCATAGCCCTTAATGACGACCTGCAAAAAGTGAAGGGCTATGTTTGACTACCACTTTATTCTGCCACTGGACCAGTGAGGTGGCTCGTGGCGTGGGGTGACGCTCACCCTGAGATGTCCCCTTGTGAGCATCTAATTACTGGACCATATTATCTCTAGGTGAAGCTTAATGTCATTTCCCTGAAAAATACTGTCCTTAGCCCTTGGGAGTCTCAGGGACCAAAGTCCCATGCTGTGGCAAGTGGCACTTTCTCTTGTACGCGAGGATTTTGTCAAATGGCAGAAAGAAAACAGGCAAGGAATGTGATTCAGCAATAAATGAGGAGTGAGGTGGGAGCGGCTATGAGCTCAAGATACAAGCGTTGCTTTAAATATCTGTCCGCAGCAAGAAAAGAAGCGCGAACAACTAGGAAGCCACGATCGTCTTGTAAAAATAACTGCAGTGGACTCTGCTTTACTGACATATTGGATAAGCAGATCATTTCCTTCCCAGCACAACACCTCGTCATTCCTGTTCCCTCTGGCTGACACCACAGGGCTTCTCAACCCTTGTAGCGCCGAGGCCCGCCTCATTGGGCTCAAGGTCCCCCTCGGAGAATGCCAGCTCTTCATTTACACTCTTTTTCTGACTACAGAAAAAATATGGGGGTGATTTTTCTGTTGCAAAGAACTCAGCAAAGCTCACGACAGCTCAGTGTGTTTTTAGCGCCATTTGAAATCCCTGGTTTCAGCCTGTGAATTGTGTTTGCACACCTACCAGTGCTAACACTGTGTGGCACCCCTGGCAGGATCTCCAGGCACCCTGGTTGAGAATCACTGGCTTGCACTGTAATGGACACTGGTTACCAACACCGGGGTTAAGTCAGGGGTGAGCAAAACACAGCCTGTGGGCAGTGTGTGACCTGCCAGGCCATTCTATCCAGCCTGTGGGGCCCCTAAAAAGTTTAGAAAATTAATATTTATCTGCCCCTGGCTGCCTGTGATGTGGCCCTCGATGGCTTCCCAAAACTCAGTAAGTGCCCCTCCGCCCAAAATAATTGCCTGCCCCTGGGTTAAGTGCATACACCGCTGACCTGCACAGGAAACCCTGGACCCCACTGTTTTGTAATGTATTTGTACCTCATTGCAGCATACAAGTGGTGAGCCTGGCTAGGAGTGGACAACGCAAGGTTTCTAAAGCAGCCCTGTTAGCTGCACAGCTGCTAATTAGAGGCATAAGGTGCACTAAGAAACAAGATGCAGGCTCAATGCTCAGGCTGTCCCTGCGCTTTGTGAATGCCCTTTACGTTGAGTTGGGTACACTGCATGCTCAGAGTAAGCACGTGGCCTTGCTTTCCATCCTGTGGTTAGGCAGTTAAATGAGCACATGGTAGTGATTGACCACCTCAAATAGCTGGAAAAAATTCTTCTTTGTAAGCTTTCGGGCACAAACACCTTTCCTCAGCCTGACGAAGGGCGTTTGTAAGCTCGCAAAGAAGATTTTTTTTCCAGCTATTTGAGTTGGTCTAATAGAAGATATCAGATTTACCCAAAGCACCTTCTCTGCCTGTCTTTAGACCAAGACGGCTACAAGCTATACCCCGGCAATGATTGAGACAGCAGGAAAATATAGGACAGTGCAAACCTCTACCACCCAAAGGGATTGTGCTGCCAGTCTTTGCTTATATGTCTTCGGCCATATGTCTACAAAGGCCAGACCAAGTCCCCATGTTTGCTGCCTTAATGGCTGATGTGGCAGGAGACATATAGCACAGGTGAGAACCTGTGCTAGCTCGTGGGTTCAGAGGGGCAAGCCAAGACCCCTCTCACTCAAGGGTCGTAGCTGGGGGAGGAGTAGTGTGAACACAGGACCTACTTTCTTCTTCACACCTCGGCCCAAGGTCTAGGCAGGGATCAATGGGAGAGGGTCTAACATCTCCTTATACCCATGTGCGGCCATTCGTTGCAAGCCAGAATTAGGCTCATAATGTGATTGAATTTGGAAAAGGGCAACTTACTGGACTGCAGAGAAAGGAGCCAAAATTACACCTGAGCCGTGGGCGCAAGAGGCCCCCTTGGATGTGTGAGAGTGAATGTTTGTAATACGGTGTCACAGTGCTAGGTCTCATGGGTCCCATATCGCAGCAGGGGAGGGAGGGGCCCTTTTCTGTGTACCTGTGGTGTGATCAAGGTAGGGCTAGTGCCTCCCGACCCTGGGCATCTCATTCAACAAGGTGCGAGTCCAGTATCATACCTCTCTCCATCAGCAGGTGGCACAACAAGATCCTGCTTTGTGGTCCTGGTAGTCACAAGCCCTTGCAAAATTGAGTGTCGCCTGTCATCCTGACAGCTCTGCTTTCCTGCCCTAGCAGAGGCATTACAGTCCAGCTGAAATGCCAGCTGACTTGTGGGCTGCTGGAAAACTGATGGCTTTCTCTGCAGGAGTGACAGCCTGTCAGTCGTGGGCGAAGAGCCCTGGGGTGTCGCTGAAATGGCCCTGAGGATGAAAGGCATCACACAGCAGGTGTTAGTCCCGGGCTGCGCTGTCATTTCAGAAGAACCCATCTCCCAGCCTCAGTGCTCCTCTGCAAAATCATTTCTTACATTAATAATATCACCTCTCTGTGTGGTAGCAGATGTTGGTGAGGCCCCATCTGAAGAGCTGTGTCCCGTTTTGGGACCTCAAGAGGGATGTTGACAGTTTGGAAAGAGTTCAGCGCAGACCAACAATGATAAATAGGGGCCTGGGAGGCAAGAGTTATAAGGAAACACTGAAAAAAACTAAGGTTACTTAGTTTGGAGAAGACATTTGATACGAGTCTTCAAATACCCAAAGGGCAGAGGACAGAGACGGGTTTTTCTTCTGTGGCCGTAGGGGACGGGACTAGGAACAGAGAAGCCAAGGGGCTTCAGCAAGGGGAACTGAGGTTGAAGATGAGGAGGAAGTTTCTGGCTCAGATGGGCTGGTCAAGAATTGGAGCACGCTGCTTGGAGAAGTTGTGGGATCTCCATCCTTGGGAGCACTGGCGAGGTGTAGGGGGTGCACGTGGGTTCACATGCACCCCGAGATCGGCCGTGCACCCCCTGGAAGCACCAGTGATGAAACTGGAAGTGCACTTCTGGTTTCATTGCTGGATCGAGGACCCCCCCTCAGTTGGTGATGGGCCGCTGAAGGACCCCTCCACCCCACCCCATTGGTGATCTGGTGCCCCCCCAGACTCAGGAGGCACCAGACGCCCATGCGTGGAAGCTTTCAAAAGCAGGTTAGACAAATGTTGGGCTAGGATGGTTTAGTCAGGGATGATCCTGCCTTGAGCAGAGGGCTGCACTAAATGACCTCGCAAAGTCCCTTCCAGCCCAACTTCCCTGTGTTCCCCTGTGGGACTTTGCAGATCAGCTGCCCGTGGCAGGAGAAAGCAGAGATGAACCTTCAGGACATACTCTAAGAGTCATTTCACACAAATGGTGTGTAGACATCCCCTTTCTCAGCCTCTCAGCCAAAACGCCAATGTCTGGTCCTCAGGAATCACATCCCCCACCTCCAGAGATAAAGGCAATGAGCAAACTCACCTGTAGTAGGCAACCATCGGTCCTCTGGATCATGGTGTGCACATAAGAGGTCTATGATCATAACACCAAGACATTCAATGCATTCACCTAAGCAAGAGTATGGAGGAGTGGAGGCTACCCAAGACCTACCACCCCACTTTAGACC